TTGTCTCGATTGTCTCGTCTCGTCTCGTCTCGTCTCGTCTCGTCTCGTCTCGTCTGGTCTGTCTGTCTCTTTCTCTCTCTCTTTATCCCCCTCTCCAGCTCCCGTCCGCTGCCGCCCCCCTCCCGTCCTGCTGCTTCTCCCCCTCCTCCTCATGCTGCTCCTCTCCTCCACATCCTCCTCCTTCGCATTCCCCTCCTGATGGCCCACCTCCTCTTCCTCGTCTGTCTTTTTGTTTGTTATTGTTATCCTCTTCTTCTCCTCCTCCTCTCCTCCTCCTCCTCCTCCTCCTCCTCCTCCTCCTCCTCCTCTTGCCACCTCTTCCCCCTCCTTCCGCTCCCCCTCTTCCTCTTCCTGCTCACGCCCCTCCTGCTGGTCCCGTATGCAGGGCTTGCTTGGGTGCCCAGGGCCCGTGCGAAATGACGAGAGGAGGAGGAGGAGGAGATGGAGGAGGAGGAGGAGGAGAAGGGATGGGAATGAGGAGAAGGCGGAGGGCGTATGAGGAATGATAGGATGATGGCGATGATGATGACGAGGACGATGACGATGATGCTGCTGCTGATGACGATGATGATGACGATGCTGGTGCTAATGATGATGTAATAGTGATGATGATGACGATCATGATGATGATGATGATGATGATGATGATGATGATGATGATGATGATGATGATGATGATGATGATGATGATGCAGATGATGATGCTGCTGATGATGATGCTAGATGCTGGCGATGCTGATGCTGATGCTGATGCTGCTGATGCTGATGCTGATGATGCTGCTGCTGATGCTGACGATGCTGATTGTGATTCTGATGACGAAGAGTCTGATGATGATGCTGATGATGATGCTGCTGCTGATGATGGTGATGATGAGAGTTGGGATACTGCTCCTGCTGCTGCTGAGGATGATGCTGATGCTGCTGATGCTGCTGATGATGATGAGGAGGAGAAAGAGGAGGGTGAGGGAGCCAGGAGGAGCAGGAACAAGTGCAGGCCACGAAGGGGAGGAGAAAGAGAAGATGGGGAGGAGGAGGCGGAGGAGGAGATCAGGAGATGAGATGAGGTGGACGAAGACGGGGCGCTGGGCGACCGATGTACGAGCTGGGAGGCGCTCGAGGAGGAGCGGGATGATTTTCCTCGAGCAGCCGAAGGTGGAACTGGCAAGAGCCTGGCGGTACTCAGCGTCCATTCTACGGATGGCCCCTGGTAGGGCAAGAACCTAAGTAATTAAATGCCACCCTATCCAGCTCGCTGGCACGCGGCGGAAGTCGGGAACTGGCCAATCCAGAGGATTCGGCTCATGAAGCAGTCTCGCTCGAGAAACGCCGAGAGTGGTGGTGCGAAGGTGCGTAGTGGGAAGGAGATGAATAGGAAGGTAAAGAGGAGTATCAGAGGTCGATCTCACGGGCCTGGACTATGAAGCAACGATGTCAGATGTGATGCCAGGGCGCCGAGCTTACCATTCCCCCACCCCTCAACTCCGTCTCCTCCTCCCCCTCCTTCTCTTCCTCCTCCTCCTCCTCCTCCTACCCTTCACCCTTTTCTATGCCTTTCCTCCTCCTCCTCCTCCACCTCCTTCTCCTCCTCCTCCTCCTCTCCCTCTTTCTCCTCCCTCCTCCTCCGCCCGGCCCACCGCAGCAGCGCTGGCCCACTCGAGCTCGAGCGCCAGCTTCGCGAGAGGTGGCGACAAGGTCGCGCCGTCGCGCTGCAGGGAGGGCGCACAGCAGTCTCCCCACCGAGCCCGCTTCGCGGCGCCTCCGCCTCGCCGGGTCAGCAGCGCGCCCGGGCTGCCGCCACCCTCAGGCCCACGGCGGCCACCGTCGGCCCTGTGCTTCGGGACCCCCCTCCCGGATCCCACGGATCCCGAGGCCCGAGGTTGTGTTGTTCCAGTCGTACTTAAGGACCGCACCCCAGAAGTAATTTCGAGCACCCAGAGAACTATCGAATGTGCCCGACACGCTGTCGAAACGTCGGAAAGGTGCAGCCTCCCAGGGTCCGACACGTGAAAATCCTCCACTTTGGGTGCTTTCCTGGTGCTCGAGACTCTGTCTGGTGATCAAGGCTAGAAGCAGGTCGGAACATCATAAACCCAGGGGTCTGTTCCGTCTGCTGCCTGTCTCGCCGCCGTCTGCTGGCTGCCCAACCGCAGCGGATGAGCGCAACACAGGCAGGCGACGGCGCACCAGAGCACGGCGCCAATGGATGCGGGCCGCGGGCGGGGGCCGCAGCTGCAGCGGCGTCGGCCGTGGGCGAAAAGCAAAGCCGTACCCGCGGCCTCGCAGGCCGGGCCCCTGTCGATGATCCTCTGGACGCGTGTTTGCCCAATCTGTGCTTACCCCTGTAAGCCCCACGAGTAGATTGTTACCTCGCCTGGGTCGTATTGACTGGTCTCGATGGACAGACCCACGTTGGCTCTTACACACGTTCTGAGGATCACCGACCCTGGAAAGCGACCCCGCGGATACGGGGCGCTGTCTCGCGGATGCCCCGCGCGAAGCCTATCCGAGTGACCGCGCATCTGCGGGATGGCGCCCCAGAATCCAGACCGCGAGGGCGCGGATGCGGATATGTGCGCCGCTCGCGATTCGGCCCGCAGCGCCGGCACCCCGCCTGCTTGCCGCTGGCGCCCGCCCCCTTCCGACGCCACCGCCGCCACCGCCCTCATCGGGAGCGGCCAAGAGGGGGGTGTCCAAGAGGGGGGGGTGCAAATCATGACCAGCGGCATGTGCGCGGCCCAGCGGGGGGACCAGGGACGTAATGAAACAAGAAGAGGCGCCATGAGATCTGGGGAAATATCATGGCCCCCGCCATGATATCCCCCCCCCCTAGTCATCACCCCCCTCTTTTCCGCCACCGCCCTCAGGCGAGCAGCAGGGCGGGCAGCGCCAGCCCGGGTGGAGGCCGCCCGCCCGGAGCCTCGACGGGCTGGCGCCCCTGCCCCGCGCACCGGTCGGTTGCCCCAGCCACGGATCGGAGGAGGCCAGCGCCGCACCTCCACCAGGGCCTCGCCGCTGCTCATCCGTGCCCGTGCCGCCGCTGATGCCTTCGAGGCCAGGATCCCGCTGACGAGGCGGCCCTCCTCCACACAGCCAGGCAGAGCTCCCTTGCCACTGCTCACCTGGGCGCGGCAGTCCTTCGGGTCACGCGCGGAGACTTGGGCGCACCCAGTCGCTGGCCCACGGCGAACGCCAAGAAGGCGCACAACGCCGTATGGGCCTCGCAGAAGGGCGCCCGCGCACTGCAGCGACCTCGGGTCGTCAGCTGCGGGGCCGCCAGGGGCTGGATCGATCTGTGCGCGACCGCGCGGCTGGCGCGGGCCAAAGCTGCGCCGCCACCAAGGTCACGCCAGCGGCAGCGCTCGCTGCTCCAGAAAAACGTGGCGGGCGGCGACAGCGCTCAGCAGCGGACATCTCTCGCAGAAGTCGCCGCCGAGATATCGTCCCTGCGATGGGGTCGATCCCTCTCGTTTCCGTCTCGCTGAGTGCCCTGATGCCAAGCGGACAAGCAGAGTCCTGTGTGCTTCGGTTACCCTGGCATCCCTGGCATATCGCCGACCTCGTGCGACATCGCTCTCCCTCCAGCTCCGTGTGTCCCTCTCGTTCCGCTTCCCTGCCGCCACCTCCTTCTCCTCCTCATTGCCTCATCCCTTCCTTTCTTCGTTCCCAAGATCACCGCCTCCTTCAAAGGCAAGCAGGACAGCGCATGTCCAAACCCACCCCCAACAAAGCGGCGACGATACAAGGCCAGGGGGCGCTGTCCACCTCGCCTCCCCTCTATCGCCCCCGCCCGATCGGGGAGAAACATGCCCGTCGGTCGGAACCAGTGGGCCGAAACATGAAATAGGAAGGCGTTTGAAGTAGATTGGGACTCCGCCCGCTCCCTGAAAGAGGAGGGAAGAGGGGGGACCGCTAGACTTTGTAAGCAGGAAGGCGCCTCGAACAAAAATTGGGATATGGATGAGTACCCAAGAGTAGCTGCTTTCAATGTCCGGCGTCTGTCGGGGATCTACTGACCCCGTCAATGCAAACCCTGGCCAGTCAGACTTTTCAGAATCCTGCAGGATCCTGCGCGCTAGCCCGGGTCAGTGCGCCCCTGGCGCTGCAGGATCCTGCGAGATCTGGCGCTCTGACTGACCCCCGTTTGCACCGACCCCAGTCCCAAGGCTCCCGAATGCACCAACTTCTGCCGCCGCGCCCTGGAAGGACCTCGAGGCGAATCCCTGCCGCGGCGACGTCAGGCTGGCAGCGGCAGAGTGCTCCGACGTGCCGCAGCGCCCCGGACCCAGACCCCGACGTCGTGATTTTTTCACGACGTCGCCCCCCAGAGGTCTGGACGCCTTCCCCGGGACCGGTTTTACGTCCTGCATCGTTTTTTGACGGTCCCGAGGCCCGGGAAGGGTCCCCAAAGGGCGAAAATAGGGAAAAACCTCCCGTCGTAATTTTTTCACGACGCCAGGAGGTCTGGGGAGGGATCTCGAGGCGAACCACGGCCGCGGCGATGCGGGGCGGGCAGCGGCCGCGGCGCCTGTCTCCAGCCCCGGCCAACCGCGGGCGGCCACGGCTCCGCTGGGGAGGGGGCACCGCAGCCGCGGTCCGTACAGAGACCCTGAGATCCGACGCTGCGACAACACCATTGCAACATCGCAAACCATCGCGACCAGAACCCTGTAAGAACGGTTTTTTGAAGGCAGATCTGCCTTCAAAAGAACGGTTTTTTGAAGGCAGATCTGCCTTCAAAAAATGGTCTACTCTGTAAGAACGGTTTTTTGAAGGCAGATCTGCCTTCAAAAAACCGGTCTACTCTGTAAGAACGGTTTTTTGAAGGCAGATCTGCCTTCAAAAAACCGTTCTTACAGAGTAGACCCATCTTTCTGCATCGCTCAGGGCCGCCACTTCCTACCGACCTTCCTCGCTGCACTGAGTTGCACCACGCGGTGAAAGGCAAACTGCACGAGCTTCTTTGCTCGAGGCTGCGGAAGAATTGCAACATCGCAGTACGCTCACGATAAGACGAAGCCAGGACGAGGAGTGAATCGGGTGAGAATGCATCGAGAATCTCTGAGATCCAGCGGCTCTGGAGGATGTCTCGGGCGCCGCGGCCTTCTCAGAGCGTTCCGGAACGCCCTGGAAAGGATTTATCCTCGTCCCAGCCCCGTGGGACACGACCAAAACCCTGGACCATGGCTTCGAGCCGGATCGATCTGGGATGGCCCCGGGGCCCGCAAGCGGGCGAGAACGCCCGGTGTCTCCACCTCCTCCTCCTCCTCCTCCTCTCCCTCCTCCTTACTCCTCCTCCTCCTCCTCCTCCACCTCCTACTGCTCCTCCGCTTTTCCCTCCTCTTCTTCCTCCTCCTCCTCCTCCTCTTCCTCATCCTTCTCCCTCCTCCTCCTCCTCCTCCTCCTCCTCCTCCTCCTCCCTCCTCCTCCTCTCCTCTCCTCTCCTCCTCCTCCTCCGCCTCCTCCTCCTCCTCCTCCGCCTCCTCCTCCTCCTGCTCCTCCTCGAGGAAGCTGCAGCGCCCGGCTCTGCGGGAGGGACTGCGCCGAAGCGCTGCCGACCCGCGTCGAGAGGACGGCGCTCGCAGGTGGCAGCGGACCCCGGCAGCAGCATGCAGGCGAGCGCAGGGCCGCCCGCTCGCCTGCCCTGGGGCGACGGGCTGCCCCTGGCCAGGCCTACCCTGGGTCAAGGAACAATGCACACATACATACATACATACATACATACATGCATGCATGCATGCATGCATGCATGCATGCATACATACATACAGACAAACAGACAGACAGACAGACAGACAGACAGACAGACAGACAGACACACGTACATACGTACATACATACATACATGCATACACACATGCATGCATACATACATACGTACATACATGCATACATTCATACACACATATCGATATTTAGGTATGCTTGAATCCGTATCTTGGTATGCCACATATGCACGTACACGTATACATACATATACATATGTATATATACGTATATATTTACACATCTAGATGTATGCATACATACATTCATGCATGGTTGCATGTGTATATATATATATATATATATTTGTATGTATGTATGTATGTATGTATGTAGTTGTGGAGTTGTGTGTATATGCACATGTCTGTACGCATGCATACATAGATACATGCAAACCCATATGGATGCATGTCTGTATGTATGTACGCATGTATGGATGTATGCTCGCATGCGTGTATGCACGCATGCATATACGCATGTATGTGTGTATGTATGTATGCATGTCTGTATGTATGTACGTATGCATGTGTGTACGTATGTATGTATGCATGCATGCATACATGCATGTTTGTATGCATGCATGTATGTGTGCACGTATGTATGTCTGCATGTATGCATGCCCGTATATATGCATGCACATCGATATACATGTATGCATGCATGCATGTGTGAATGCATGTATGTAGGCCTGCACGTATGGCTGTCTGGCTGTATGCATACATAGATGTTTACACATATATATATATATATATATATATGTGTAAGGTCACGTGCCCCGCTCCGGGGCCCAGGCTGGGCCTGGCCAGGGGCAGCGGCTGTGCCCAGACCTCGCCGCCCGATGGCGGCAGCCACTGCGGCGAGGGCGGCGCTCGAGAGGCGCCAGCGGTCCCCTCGGCGGCGGGCAGGCAGCCGCAGGGCCGCCCGCCGGGACCTGCGGCAGGCAGGCAGGCCAGGGCACGAATTCCTGGCGGGCAGTCCAGTGGTGGGATTGGAAGACAGGGCGCCCTCTTCGGGCCCTAACCGACTGCCTACCAAACCACCCTGAGGTCGGGCATGTCCCCCTTCCGGCGGATTTTGGACGAAGAATGAAAAATGCCCCAAACATGCTCAAACAAATCATTGGCTATTTTGTAACTTTTGAGTATTCCTCCTGTAGAGGCTATTTGGCTATTTTTCCCTACCTAGGCTCTGCCTAGAAGGGTTCTTACTCTCTTTTTTAAAAAGGGCCGGGCAGTGGAACTCGCCCCGGGCGGTTCCCCCGGTCCCCGCCCCGCGGTTCCCCCAGTTGCGCCCCCTTACCTTAGCTTTGCGTATCTCATCTTAGCTTAGCTTAGCTTAGCTTAGCTTCATCTTAGCTCAGATTCATCTTAGCTTAGCTTACCTTCATCTTAGCTTCGCGGAGCTTTAGCATAGCAGAGCACAGCATAGCATAGCGTAGCATCGCATAGCCAAGCATAGCATAGCATAACATAGCGCAGCATATCATAGTATCGCATATCATAGCATAGCATAGCACAGCTTATCATAGCATAGCTTAGCACATCACATCATGCCATGCCATAACTTAGCATAGCTTTACATAGCTTAGCATAGCATAGCACAGCACAGCATAGCACACCATAGCTTATCATAGCATAGCGCAGCATAGCATGGCATATCATAGCAAAGCAACTAATGCTGCTTTCCTAGGGGCTCCAACTTCAAGGTAGGGTCGCACTGGGGTAATGATTATTTGTTTGGGGAGGCTATTTTAGAATATTCCTCCTGTGGAGGGACAGGCCCGACTGAACACCACCCCAACCCAACCCGAAGACCCGAATCTCGCCCGAATTTCGGGTCGGGTGGGGGGGGGGGGTGTACGGGTTCCACATGTTTTTTCAATGTCCCCCCCCCCCCCCCTGGAAACGGAGGGCCACTTGAGGCCTTCGGGTCGGGTTGGGGCGGTCTGGTGGGCGGTGACTGGGGGCCCCCGTCTGGGCCCCGAAGGAACCCTCGAGGGGTCCTCAAGGACCCCTTTTCGGCAGCCCTGCGGTCGGGCGCGGGAGGAGGAGGAGGAGGAGCGAGGAGGAGGAGCGAGGAGGAGGAGGAGGAGGAGCAGGAGGAGGAGGAGGAGGAGGAGGAGGAAGAGCAGGAGGAGCAGGAGGAGGAGGAGGAGCAGGAGGAGGAGGAGGAGGAGGAGGAAGAGCAGGAGGAGGAGGAGGAGCAGGAGGAGGAGGAGGAGGAGCAGGAGGAGGAGGAGGAGGAGGAGGAGGCTCCCCCCAGTCATCCCGCCCCCCATGCGATCGCCGCCCAGCGAGCACAGGCGGACGGGCGGCACGGCGGCGCTGCCTGAAGGGCCCAGGGACACACAGATAGATACGCACGCAAACAGCAGGCTTCCCCACAGTTCTCGACATTTGCTGGACTCTCGTCGCCCCCCCAACTTCCCACATTTTTCCCAGATCTTCGAGGGAATCGCCGATTCGGCGCGTCGGTAGGCGTTCTCCCTCCTGGCTGCCCTCCTGTGGGCTCGGCGCGGGCCCCTCGCGGGGCGGGCCCCTCAGTCGAACATCTCCTGCACGAGCCACTCCCCCGCGGCCTCCATCGTGCTGATCGCGCGCTCGCGCCCCCGGAGGGTCCAGGCCTGCATCCTCCCCGCAGCGCGCGCGCGCGTCGAGGGGGGTCCCGAGCCCCCTCGCGCCGCGAGAGAGAGAGCACCTCGCGACAACGTCGCGTCGTTGGAGCTCGACCACAAGAAGCCTTCCACAAGAAACCCAAGCCAAAGACCCAGAACGCCCACTGATTGTTGATGTTGGACATTCGCGCCCTCCACCGCAGAACCATCGAAACCCGAGACACCCGGGGGCACCCTGGAGGCAAGCATGGCGCTTCTTGGCGTGGGCTCCCCCTGCCACGTCGACCCCCGGAGGCCTCGACCCATTCCCCGGGGCCGGCTCTGTGTCCCGAGTCGCTCCTGGACGGCCCCGCGGCCCGGCAAGGTATGGGCCCCCCCCCGAGGCCGAGGGCAGCAGAACCCCTCCCTTTCCCACGGCGCGAGGGGGTCTGGGCGCATGTGGCCCGTCGCCGTCGCTGCCGTTCCCGCTTGCGGCCTCTCCGGGGTCTCCCCCTCGCGGGGGGGGGGGGCCCGGGGGGGGGGGGGGAGCGCCGACCGAGCGGCTCGGGGCCCGAGGCCCGTCCTGGGCCAAGGGGGGCAAGCACAGTCGACCCCGGGGGGCCCGCGCCGCGAGGGCAGGCCGCGCGGGCGGTGCGCGACGGGGGCGGGGGCGCCTCCCGGGAGGGGATTGTGGGCCTCGGCTGCCCCGAGGCGCGGCACGAGGCCCGGAGCGCGTCGGCACGGAGCCGAGCACGCGGGCGGAGCACGCGGGCGTGGCGCGGCACGTTCGCCACAGCGTGGGCCAATGCGCCGAGCCAACACGCACCTCCTCCTCCTCCTCCTCCTCCTCCTCCTCCTCCTCCTCCTCCTCCTCCTCCTCCCCCTCCTCCTCCTCCTCCTCCTCCTCCTCCTCCTCCTCCTTCTCCTCCTCCTCCTCCTCCTCCTCCTCCTCCTCCTCCTCCCCCTCCCCCTCCTCCTCCGCAGCGTCTTGACACGGGCGCTGTCTGAGCGCGGCTTGTGCTGCGCTGCGGAGCGCGGCGTATCGAGGCAGCCGAGCGTCTCTCACAAGCACAGGGGGGGGCCTCTGAGAGGCCGGCTCCCGTCAACCCCACCCCCAGGCCACGCGCCCTTCTGCAGAAGGGGAGACGACAGCATGGACATACATGATCCTGCCTGACCTAAGGAACGATAGATAAGGAACGAAACCCCTCTTTTCCAAGTAAGCCTACGAAATCCGAAGGAAGGAACCGCCCAGCCTCTTTCTAACGGCGTTCCGCCACGATTTGCGCTTGCGCGTCCAAAATCTGAAGGAACACCACGGGGGCTCGCCGCCGAAAAGGTCGCGGAACGCATGCGAACCAGAGGAGCGACCGAGCCCCTTTTGAAAAGTAAGTGTTCCTTTTTCAAGCCGGATCCTGTACACGTCTGGGGGCCCGTGCGGACTTCTCTGACCGGTGCTCTGGAGCCTTCTCGCCCTGGCGCGGGTAGAGCGCGCCGAGGGGGTGACGCCGGAGGCGCCGTCAGGGGGGGTCCAGCGCCGATCGAGGAAACCCGCGCGGAACTCCGGAGGTGTACGGGCAGGGTCCGGTTTAGAGGCCAGAAATCCCCCCCATAAGAATCACACCGACAAGCGAATCTGTTCAGTAAACGCACCCAGGGAAGGCATCGACACAGGACTTGGCTGTCTCTTAATCGCCCAGGGCCGTTCAGTAAACGCCAACTGTCAGGTCTGGGTGTTGTTTTTTCCTCCCTGCATGGTTGCTACCAAGAGGAGCGCAAAAGAAGAAGCGAAGGGCTTTCCTGGCCTCGGCGGGCTTGGGCCACAAACAGGCTCCACGGCAGAAGTCCAATGAACACGGCCCCGAGAACCCGAGCGCCATACCCGAGTCCACAGCGGTCCTTATTATTTCAGCGCCTTGGCTGTGTCTGCTTGCGCTGCTTCTCTTGCCTTGGCGGCGGGCATAAAGGGGGTAGTTACTCCAAATCCCTTATTAATCGACCCCCCCTAAAAAACTGGACCCCTCCAAATGCGACCTAATATTCCCGGACCCCCCTCTTCGACGGAGCGCCTTGACCAACCAGACCCCCTAAGCTCCGATCCAAAGAAAGCTCCCTAATAAACCGGACCCCTCCAGTTACACCGCCTTAAAAACCCGGACCCGGGGGGACGATTAAGAAGGGATTTTGGAGTAGGGGGAGGGGGGCAGGCTTCTTAGAAGCAGGGGAGCTCCCAAGAAGCCTTCCCCCCTCCCCCCCCCCGTAGTACCCCCCCTCTGCGCGTGGCCGACATTTTGCCGACGCCGTGCGCCGCCAAAGTCCTCTCCGCCTGGACGCCCCCGCCGTCGAGGAGCCCCAGCCTCGTCCGGAGGCCCTGCGCCTCGCGGGCGCCAGCTGCGAGGGGGAGAGCTGCCCAGAGATCCAACGCATTGAAAACATCATGACGGAAAACTTTTCTCCGCCTTCGGCCTCTCGGGGCCCTCGCCGGGCCCCGGGACAGTCAAAAAACGGCTCAGGATGAAAAACTGGTCCTGGGGAATGGGTCGAGACTTCGGGGGACCGCGAATTGAAAAAAATCACGACGTCGGATCTCTGGGTACCCAAAGGGGAGAGGTGAGCGAACCAACCTGCGTAACTGGTTTTCCCAGCGCCTCCTGGAGCCGTAGGCGCCACTCCGGTGGCAACTCATGTGAGCCTCTCGTGCAATCTTGCCGGCTCCTGCGAATCCACGCTCAGCGACGCTCAGCGACGCTAGCTCGACGCTAGTCGACGCTAAATCGGCGCCTTCCCATCGGTTACCAGACACGAGCGCGCAAATGCACTCTAAAGAAGGAAATGCGAGGGCATACAACAAGGGCGCCTACCTTTACGCTCTCGCGCCGCCCCCCAGGGGAGAAGAGGAGGCTGAGGAATCGGAGCCGAAGCGCGAAGCGCGAATGACTTCGCGCCCTCGAAGAAGGCGCCCCTGACTTGATACCGAACGCCACTGTATCGAGGAACGCGCAAGGCGGCGGGGCCAAGACAAGCTGCATATGTGGCAGAGTCCGTAATCCCCCGCTTTGCCTGTCCCATCCCCCCCGTTCTTTCGCTCGGCCCGAGCCTGCTCGTCCCAGTCACCCTGGTCGATCATCGGCCTCTTCGGGGACGCACTGACCCGGGTCAACGCAAACCGGGCCAGTCAAGCTCTGCAAGATCCTGCAACATCCTGCAGGACCCTGCGCGCAAGTCCGGGTCAATGCGACCCCAGCTCTGCAGGATCCTGCAAGATCCAGCGCCCTCGCTGACCCCCGTGTGCATCGACCCCCGCCCCTTGAGCCCCGAGCCGCGCTCTCCGCAGTCGGCCGGTGGCCCCGAGAGGGGGGGGGGGGCAGGAGCCGCCACGCGGACCCCACAGGAGGCAGGCCAACAGCGACAGCAGTCGGCGCAGGGCTCTTGCGCAGCGCCTGGCGGCGGCGGCCCCTGGCGCTGTGCCCTGCGAGCCGACGGCGCGTCGCGCTGCTCCGCGGGGCGCGAGGCCGGGCAGGGCTCGGAGCGCTGGCGCCCGGGGGCAGTGGGGGTGCTCGGCGCGCGGCACCGAAGCGTGGCGGGCCAGAGCTGGTGGCGCGACGTGCTGAGCTTAAGTCGGGCCTGTCCCCCCAGAGGGGGATTTTCGACGAAAAACAGAAGATACCCCACACATAACCAAAACCATGGTCAAAAAATAGTCTGGGGGCTATTGGTTGACTATTTTTCTACCTTTTCGGGGTATTTTTGGGTGTATTTTTTTTGTTCTTCTTTCGTCGAAAATCCCACTGTAGGGGGACAGGCCCGACTTAATGCTAAGCACTGCGAGCAGGCACTCTGCGAGTGCAGCGAGCACAGCGAGGTGGGCACTCTGCGAGTGCAGCGAGGTGGGCACTCTGCGAGGAGGAGGAGGGGGAGGAGGAGGAGGGGGAGGAGGAGGAGGAGGAGGAGGAGGAGGAGGAGGAGGAGGAGGAGGAGGAGGAGGAGGAGGAGGAGGAGGAGGAGGAGGAGGTGGGCACTCTGCGAGCACAGCGAGGTGGGCACTCTGCGAGTGCAGCGAGCGGGCACGGCCGCCAGAGGCCCCCGCGGGAGACCAAAGCACCGGCCCCCCACGCGCGCGGGGCACGCAGCGCGCGGGGCCCGGGGGGGCCCCGAGCGCACGGACCGCGGCAACTGTCCATCAACGGCCGCAGGAGGTCACCGCGCAGCGCGCGGGCGACGAAGAAACCCAGGGCACCCTGACCAGAAACAAAAAGGCGGCATGAACATAAACTTTTGGCGCTCCGCGCGGACTTCTGGGATCCGCGCTGGACCCTCCTTCCCGGCGCGCGGGGGCCCGGGCGCGGATCCAAGAGATCCACGCGGAGCGCGGAAAGTCTGTGCTTCCGGCGTTTTTGTTTCGAAGCACGCGCTCCTTGCCGCACGCATGAACTCTTGGATCTCGGAGGCTCGCGCGGATTTCTCCGGTCGAACGCTGGGTGCTCCTCCCCCTCACCCCTTGCGGCGCCGGTGGCCTGGCGCGCTCCGCGCGCCAGCGGAGGAGGCGGGGCAGGGGGTCCGACGCTGCCTCGAGACCTCCGCGCGGACCCCCCACGAGCAAAATTCAGTCAGTCTCTCTCAGCCAGGGTCGTGCGGGTGGTACAGTCAACCCGGATAGTAAGGATGCGCGATAAGGATGCAAGGGCCTTGGACGCCCATTTCGAAGCGTTTCGAGCGGGGCGCGGCCAACGAAAGTGTGCAAGGATGGACCCAGGAGGCAAGGATACAAGGGTACCCTTGGGAGGGATGCCTATCCTTACTATGCGTGTCGACTGTAATGGGGGGTGACGCAAATGGGGGGCGAAGCCCTAAAAGATCCCTTCCGGGCCCCTTCTGGAGCCAGCTGGTGCCCAAAAAGGGCCCTAAAAGGCCCGTTCTGGGCCTGACCACACGCCGGTCCAGAGAGCTCGCACGGACCTCCGCACGCCGCCCCTGCTCGTGTCGCTCTCTGTGCTTTTTCCGGAGCGGGGGGGCACTGTAGGAGAGGGGCCTCAAAGCTGTTCCTCCTCCTTGATAAGGCTACGGCGTGCGACCGTTTCGACTTCAAGAGGCGTTTCAAGCTGCGTTTGAATTTCCTGTGGTTCCGTTGTGGTTTTCTCGTGGTTCCTTGCTTGCGCGTTCGGGCGTTTCGATCATCGTTTAACCGCGCCTCACATAGAGTGCGAGCACGCATTGTTCGGGCACGCGCGGCAAAGTGCAACGCACGACCGACGTCGCGCCGCCGTCGCACGAGGTCGGGGCAGACACGCAATGAACACGAGCGCTGACATGCGGTCCTCAGTGCACGTTCCCATCAGTACTAACTTGGGCGCACATGAGAGTAGTGAAGGTGATCAGCGAAGAGTGCAGAAACAAAGCTTTACCCTCCTCAACCTCTTCCTCCTCCTCCCCCTCCGCCTTGTTCCCGTGGTCCTTACCCGCCCGCCCGCCACCTCCTCCATCGCGCCTCTGTATCGTCATTGTCCTCTTCATCCTCTGAATCGCCCTTCTCGTGCTCCATCCCTCCGTCGCCGTCACATTTTCCCTCCTCCATCCCTCGCCCCCCAGACACTCCACCGCCCCCTCCCCGCAGCAAGGGCGCGGGCAGTCCTCGCATGAAGGCGTCGAGGTTGAACGTCGGGCGGGGGGGGGGGGGCGCGTCTCTCACCCGCGTTCTCATCTGCCCCCTTGCCCCAAGACCACAAGAATGACGACGACGATGGCAGGCAGTAGCATGCACCGTCGTGGAGGAGGCGGCTTTTTCGACATCTGATCCGACTCTGATCGCAGCGAAGCCCCATCTGCGCCGCGCCACCAGGATGCTGACGACCCAGAGGGAGAAGAGAAAGAGAACGAGGATGAAGAGAAGCCCCTCTCCCCAAGGCCCCCCCTTCTTGCCAGGGACGATCTCAAAAGCCTTAGCCTGGAGCGTTTGAAGATCGGCCCCTGGACCACTCCAAAAAAAAGGTTGTCATTTATGATGCGCGTCGCCTCCGCCGCCCCCAAACCATCACCACCGCAACTGGCATTGCGCGTGCAGGAATTGACCCCATTTCCTAAGTGGCTACCCCCTCCTGGCAAAGAAGGGTTCCAGTGGCTATCCCTGGGAGGCGCACGGGGATACCATGGGCTGGAGAATCGCCACGACGCAAGGCTGACCGCGTACTGGGGAGGGGGCGTTTCGGAATCATCCAACACCGCATGTGCGTTCGCAGTCAGTTTCCTAATGTACCCTGAGTTTTTTCGAGGCCGTCCCCCCCCCCTCTCAACCCCCTGAGGCATCACCTCTCAGCGGCTTCCTTCTCCCCATCCCTCCACCACCTCCAACTCACATCAACGATCCCTCCTCCCCCTCCTCCTCCTCGCCACCGCATCCAGCCGATCAAGTGCCATTAGGTTTACTTCCACGCGTGCACGGACCCACGCAATGCAGTGCTCGTGCGCGCAGTGCTCCAGAGGGGTGGGTAGAGGAAGGCGACCCTGGCCCTGGTCGGGCATAGAGCCGACGACTGGTCCACCTGCTCAGCTGAGTGGCATGAAAACTTGAACAAGGCCACGCCGAATTTCAAATGTTTCGATGGCGGATGCACGTCGCACCCCCGAGTCCCATGGAAACGTGACTATCATAACCGAGAACCCACTCAGCTGAGACCGTGGCTAAGCTAGCTGGACCTCAAGCGACGCTCACGCTCTGGATCCACTTTTAACGGGGTCCTTGATCGCCGACCACGTCTTGACATCCGAGTGCGTCTCGAAGGTCTGGTCGATGTACTGTCTGACGACCTGCCAGTCCTTCTCCCCCTCGGAGCGGTCAATGGCTCTCGGGAACAGAGGGAACACGAGCATCGCCGTCGCAACCTCCTCGCTCTTGTCGTCCTTGGGAACCCCTGTCGCGAACGGGACGTGACCGAACGGCACAAATACGGCAGACCCCACTGGCACGATTGCAGTCACCGCGTCCTTCATGCACTCCGCGCTCTCGCCCTTGTTGTTCGCTTTGGCCCACTGCTGCAACGCGCTGAGGGCCGTGAGCCCCGAGCCTAAGAGGTCGTTGACAGGCACCGTCTTGATGAGCGCCGCCGATTGCACGGTCACGACGATGCTCGGCAAACCAGCGAAAGGCCAAGTGTTCATGTCCCAACCCCAACCGAAGTGCTTCGCCAAAACCAGAAACGGCTTCTGCGAGATCTCGTTCATGCAAGGGGCGCCCTCGAACTTCGGCTTGTCGGCGTCGACAATGAGCTCGCCAGCTCCGCTCAGGCCGCCCAAGGCAATCATGGCAGCATCGTTCTTCATCAGCGCATGGACCTTCTTGGCCTTTGCGGCGATCTTGTCTGCGTTGGACCCCACGACTTTCCCAATCGGCCCTGCGAGCGGACAATCGCCTGCCAAGTCGAAGAGGAAGGGAACTCGCTCCTTGGGGATCGCCTCCTTCTGCCAGCTGACCATGGCACACTCCTCTGCAAAGTGCGGCGATGGGAGGGGGGCGGCGTTGGGGGGAAAAGCGCGAGAGAGTCACTGGAGTGAGGAGAGGACTGGAGTTGGGGAGAACTGAGACACGAGTGCCTCGGAAGGGCTGAGCGGCTGGAGAATGCCAGGGAACAACAACTGGATGTGAGAAGAGCGGCAGTCCGAGTCGATCGAGCGCGCGGACTTGGCGAACTCTGCGGCCAGCACCTCGCACACCCCCTCGTGCAGGAAGGACGCCTTGTGCTTGTTGATGGCGGACGTCTCCTTACGCTTGACCTTGGATTCATCTCCCTGCTGCTGCTTCCTCACCTCCGTCATGCCTGCGATGAGCTCCTCCATGTTCTTGGAAAGCTTGATCACGTCGTTGAGCTTGTCCACGAGCTTGCCCTTCGCCGCGTTACTGTCTGGCGATTGCCTCCACGATTTGACAGTCTCGACCTGCTGCGAGAGAGCATCAACATCGTCGATCAGCGCCTTCCGCTTGGCCTCGTACTCGTAGGTGGACACGTCACCATCGTCCTTCACCAAGGCGAATATCTTATCAGGCTTCACATAGTGCGAGGCCTTGCTGTACCTGATGTGCTTGATCTCGTCCTTCAGCCGTGCCTGCAGGTCCCTCTTCATGGAATTAAACTCCGCGGGGCGCATCCGCTTGTCGAACGTGGGCCAGGTCGGGGCTTGGCGAGTGCGTTTGCCATCGGCCTTGGCGTCCTTCTTCCCGTCCCCCTGGGGCTCATCCTCGTCGCCCTCATCGTCGCTGCGCCTGGAGGAAGCCTCCCCAGGCAGCGTGCAGGCCTTCGGCGTGGAGCCGCCCCTGCTGCGACAAGAAGACCTCCCCCCTGCGCTCGGCGCAGGCGACCGCTGGCGGCTCCTCGAGCGGCCACGGCTGCCGCGGCCCCTCAGCGCCAGTGTCGTACCGACCAACGAACCCGCAGCGGACGATGAACGCCGCGACCTCCTTGGCGCCGGTGCAAAGTTCTCCCCGTCGGAGCTGCCCAAACCGTTCGTGACGGTGTCAGCAGGGTCGGCGACCTCGCCATCGGTGTCATCCGACGCTGGATCCTGGACTTGAAGGGGGGGAAATCAAATTCAGGATCCCCTCTTGCACCCGAACGGCACGCACAACCTAAGTGTCAAAAAAATCTGTCCCCCCTCCATCTCGGACCACCACTTGTTTTGTAACGCCCAATGGGCTAAACCCCCTGAAAAAGAAGATCGCGGTAACAATCGCAGGACCCTCGGAGTCCCTCGTCAAGCTTCAGAGACGCCCGTGAGAAGGTCGCTAGTCCTGCGCCCTCGAGCTCCCGCGAGCTCGCAACGCCTTGACGCCCCTGATGCCCTTGAAGATGGCATCGCCCTTGTCAACGAACTTGCGCTTCATCTGGTCCGCGGCGTCCTCGGGCGTCAGCGTCCGCTGCGACGTGATGCCCTCGCTGTGGATGATTTCCTGTTCTGGAGTTCGCCCCCCTACTTGATGCCCCCACTTGCCACCCCCCGCGCCCTCTCCCCCGCCACCTCGCCACAAAGACCACGCGGGCCACCGCCAAAAACCTCGTCCCGCGGCCGAACAGGGGAGATGATTGGGGGCGGGGCAGGCAAGGAGGGATGGGAAAGCGAACTCCTCCCCTCGAGATTCTCAATTGCGCCGCCCGTCTCATCGCCGCACGGCCCCTAAGTTGACCCTCCCCATCGGTCCGTAGGCATGCGCACGGCGATGACTGTCTTGCCGTTCTCCACCTCCTTGTGCACATTCCTGTCATTTTTGTCCCTCGACCAACCCTTCAACGCCTGCTCCTCCGTCATCCTGAAGGTGTGCATGTGCCAGGCTACGTACCCACATTTCTCCATAAGGACTGATTTCCCTTTCCGCTTGATGGTGGATTTGACCAATATGATGTCCAGCATGTCCGCCGTCTGCATGCGCGAGCCCTGATCTCTCTCCCTCTTCTTCTCGAATACCAAGGGCATCGCAATGGACTTGAACCGACCCTCGTCCTTATAGCGGACCGATTGCAGCTCAGCTTTGACCTTGGGGTTCTTGGAAGCGATCCTCTCCAGCGCGTGCAGGCCGTTGAAACACTTCATGTGCAAGCACTTGTAGCCGTATTTGCGGTGCTTGGACAAGTCGCTGGGGTCGGCGATCTCCAAGCAGAAGTCGCAGGTCAGCGCGCTGCCGTCATCGTCGCTGACGTCGTCCTCAGGGGCGCCCGAGGTCTCCGCGGACACGCCGAGCCTCTTGCACAAGGTACCCAGGATCTCCTCATCAGAGCTGTCGCGGCCACCACCCATGGTTCCCGAAGACGACAGCGCAAAACGGTGGCGATCACGTCGAGTCGCTCCCAAACGCTCGAGCCAAAACTGCTACGGAAGGAAGCTCGTGCCGACGAGCGAAACCCACTTGAATGCAAGTGTGCTTACCCTGGGGAAACGGTATTCATCATCTTGCGCACCTGCGGCGCCCCTTTCTGCCACGGTCAGGGTCGCTGGGGCGCCCGACCCATCAAGGAAGATGGGGGCGAAAGCTCAGAGGCTGGCCGTCGAAAGAAACGCGTGAGCACTTGAAGGGCTCGTGGCACAAGGATGGCGATGACTCATACAACGACGCCAGCGTAGTGAACCAGGCAAGCGACGAGCTGGTCTTCGGAGACTCAAACCACGATGTTCACCAGATGAACCACCCCTGGAGGCTGGGGAACACAACGACCAACGACGCCATCGATCGGGCCCCGCGAGTCGCGGTCAGGAGGGTTAGGATCGGGCGTGGCAACGCAATGCATTTACCCCAGACACCAAGATGGCACGCCATCGCGCCAACGCGGAACTGAGTTCCCAAGAGAAGCGTAGCACCAGAAAGCACTTGGGCGCATCAACCTATGCAGGTGACCAGCCCCAAATATCTCCCCCTGGGGTACACGACAACCGCCTACAGAATCACCCAAGACCCCTCTCATGAATGATTGCGTTGTGGGTCGGAGCGCCTTGGCGGGCGGTCGGTCACGGGCCCCGACTCCGCTCGCCCGTTTGTTGGCCGCGTTGGGCCCTCTCTGGCCCGTACAGCTTCATTGGCGAAACTGTGTGGCTAGGCCTCCTGAGAATTGACCCCCCCCCAAAAAAAAAACTCCTCCTCCTCCTCCTCCTCTTCCTCCTCCTCGCCCCCCGCACTCCCCCGTAACGGCGTGAAGAAGGATGATGAAGAGGAAGAGGGGGAGGAGGGGAGGTGGAAGGAGAGCAGAAGGGGGAGGCGACGGCGGCGAATCGGCATCGTGGCGTAAGTCGAGAACGCATTCGACACACATCACCCTAAGAGCAAAGCCTCGGAGGACGCGCGACCTACCGTGCACTCGAATGCGAAAGAACCGCAGGCCCCACGGGGGCCCCGAGTTGTAACTCGCTCTACATCGGCGAACATCGGGACACGAACGACCTTGGCCCGATCTGCTGCCTCAGCTTTCCTTTGGGTATCTATTTCAACCACGCCACGCGAAACCGACCTATGCTTAAAACCTTTAGAGTATATCAATCAATCAATCAATCAATCAAACTCTGAGGGGCCGCGTTCAGTCAGCTCAACGGAAAAAAGAGAAGTGCGCCCACTATGGACGGGACTCCTCCGAGGCGTGAAGTTGTCAAGCTATTCAAACCATGCCCTGAGGGCCTTTACAGGAAGGGGCTGCTGTGCTGGGGGGGATCCCTCAGGCAGTCTGCAGCGCCCTGTGGTGGGGGACTTAGGGGCTGCCCTGCACCACCAGGGAGAAAAAAGGAGGAGAGCAGCGCAAGGCAGTCTGTCTGCATTTTTTCTGGCCCTAAGAGTCCTTAGGGCCAGAAAAAAAAGGGGGAGAAGGAGGAGGAGGAAGAGGGGGCCACCGTTGTGGCGGTGGATCGGCCCCTCTCCCACCCTCGGGGCAGTGCCAATGGGCCCCCAGCGGCGTCCATCAGCCCTGTCCCCAGGTGGTCGAGGGGCCGATGCACCACCTTAACAGCGGGGCGTAATATCCCCGCCCTCGGTTGATCGGGCAGCACGGGAAGAGGAGGAGGAGGGATGAGGAGGAGCAGGGAGAGGAGAAGGAGGAGCATGAGGAGGAGGAGGAGGAGAAGAGCATGGCGAGGGAAGGCTGAGGAGGAGGAGGAGGGGGATCCTCATCCCAGCCACCCTCCTCCTCCCCTTACTCTTCCTGCTCCCTCCTTGCGCTGGCCCGTCGGAACGAAACGTTCGTCCCGACTCGTTTGTCATAGCACAACGTTGCTCCAGCAACCAACGGTCTTGAATTTAACATGATGTTATCGATTTTCAAAGCCGTGTCGATGGTTTTCGGTGGTTCTGTCGTGGTTTTTTGGTGGTTCGTCGGTGGTTTTTTGGTGGTTCCCGAATGGTTCGTATGTGTTTTTTGGTGGTTCCCGAGTGGTTCGTCGGTGTTTTTTTGTGGTTCGTCGGTGGTTTTTTGTGGTTCGTCGGTGGTTTTTGGTGGTTCGTCGGTGGTTTTTTGTGGTTCGTCGGTGGTTTCGGCCCCGCCGTCGACATTTCCTTCTTATGGTTTAAAGAAATCTCCTTATCGCAGCGCTGCGGTATGCATTTCTCATGGCGGTGTAAGCACGAACACGCTGGCTGTAGTCAGCAAGATCATGCATCTATGTAAGTGCGACTTCTGTGCGCACGCGTGGACAGCGCCGTGATGCCGCGCGCGTGCAAGAGCACAATGCCCATCTCCTCGCCACCTCTCCCTCCACCAGCCAATCCTGTTGCTTGCGCTGGTGCCCACTGCTACTCTTCATCCCCTCCCCCTGCCATCCATCCGTGCCGACCAGTCTTGGCCGCAGCTCCCGTCATCTGTCCCCGCCCTCCACCCCTGTCTCTCAAGTCTCTGCAAAGGGCCTTGGACTGTGCGATGGCTACGCCGCCGAGCCGCCTGACCCCACGACGTCCAAAAGAGCTGCGACGAGCCCAGTGCCAAGAAACAAACAGAGAGCTCGGCTGTAGAAACCACGGGCACGGGGCCCCCCGCAAAGTCGGACCAGGAGAATTTATGCAGCCGCGGGTCGGAGTGCTGCGAAAGCACAGCGTTGGGGGCAGGGGGGGAGTGGAAGAATGGAATTCGTTTGCAGAGCCAGACAGCCAAGCTGCTTAGAATATGCAACACAGACGTTATGATGAGCATGATGGTGGCCATGACAATGACGATTCCCACTCGTTGTGCGATTGGTGATGGCGACGGTGTGATGGTGACAAGCATGGCGACGATGCGAATAGCCACATGCCAAATTGGTGATGATGACTATGGCGGTGGATGGTCACGATGAATTTGGGTTGCAGGTCTGCCACTTGATGCAGACGCGTCGGTGAACTCCGACGGCGTGTCTCTTGCCTTGGTAGGCGCCGACCCTATCCGACTTCACGGGGCTAGAAATGAAGAAAAGGAAGGCTAGTGCGATGCCCGTGCTCACTGTCGAGCTCTGGCCGCTAGCCCGAGTCAGACTCAGACTCGACATGGCCCGCGGCAGCATCCTGAGCAGCTGGCCTGCGAAGGGCGTTTCGAGGAACTAAGTGGTGATTGAGAACGCCCTCGATCTGCCGCATGGCCTTACTGGCCAAGTCCTTCGCCTTCTTGATGCGCTTGAGGGCTATGTTCTTCCGAGTGAGCTCGGCCTTCAGGAATCTGACCGAGGCCTTGAGGTTGCGATTGTGCGCCTCGAGGGCGGCGCGGCTGGGGCGGGCCTTGGGCGCCATGGCGAGTCGCGAATGGATCTGTGCGGGGCAGCCGCTGGGAACCGAAGCTTGA